ATGGGACAGAGCGCACCCAGCTTCTTCAGATCGTCACCGAACCAGCTGGAGTCGCACCGACGTAAACTTCCGGGCCTTGAAGTGACCTGAGTCACCCAGGGCATCAAGTTCGGTCAAGTGGAAGAACCAGGTTATCGGGAATGCTTCGGGGGGGGGGGCCGTTTTGTTCCGCCCTTGTTGGGTCCTTAGACCGACAATGAATCTCTTTTGGACCGGTCATGGTTCCATTGCTCTGACGGTTTCAGTCTTCGTGCCAATTTCATGAAGAGTGTTCACCGGGTTTCTCGCCCGGAACGGGCGTTTTTGGGTGTCCAAGAGCGGAGAACCCCTGACCTCTCGCCTGGCCAGCTGAAACACCGAACGCCGGTCACCCGCGTTTCTTCGTTCGTTCCGCGGCGCCCACGTCACCCGCGCAGCCCGTCGCCCAGGCAAAGGATGGTGAGGCCGGTCATCCGACACGACAAGAAGGCGCCAACGTCTCCCACGCCATCTCAAAGGCGCCGGAAAACGACACAACATGGGCGGGTCCACGCGCAGGGATGGGCGATGTGGAGGATGGACTGGGCCCCTTTGCAGTCATCATGGATTCCGTTGCAGTCAGTTAGCACCCGTCAGGCTGTAAACTTGACACAGATCGTACCATGGCATCTACCTGGTTCTTCATTTTGGTGACCGAACTGGATCACCTGGGTGACTTAGGTCACGGTCGAACAAGCCGAACCTAGACGAACTGGGTCACGAAAATATAGGAACCTTCTCAAAGGTCGGTCACGAACTGAAGAAGCTGGGTGCGCTCGTATCATGTTTTGGTGGGTCTCGCAGATTGGGTGCGGAGCTCTCGAGCTCTCCTACGTGGAGCTAGATAGATCTTCCAAGCCGGACCGTCCGGTCGACGCGTGTCCAATGGAGATCGTAGCCAGATGGAAGGATCTCTCAGCCAGACACGAGGACACGGACTTGATAGAAACTAAAAGGACATTCTGAAGCAAACCTTAAGTGTCTTAATCCTGGTTCTTCAGTCGGTGACCGAACTTGATCACCTGCTTTGCACCTTTCTGGTTGTAGCAGGCACACAATGGAACACATGTAACACATGTGATGAGACAGCATCCAAACTAACATGAAGCATCCAAATCGTGGTGTTGGACCAATCACAATCTATAGGCATTTTTTTTTTTTTTAATAACGTATAACCAATAAGATCCAATAAGATTCCATTTAAACAAAACATCTAACATCTCTCCAAACCCAGCTGAACCCTTTCAGCAAGAGGTACATCTGCAAACAAAGGTGCTTGATGTAAACCTTTTCAACCACTTTACTACATCATTTCCAACAGAGGTTGAATGACCCTATAGACTATCCCATAGGTACCCCAGTAGGGTCCTATTTACGGTCACTGGCTACCTCTCTTGGTTTCCATTGATGAATGAGGGGCACCGTCGTTGCAATCCTGTGCCTCGAAGAACGATGTGATTCGGCTGTGTGTTCAGCGTCAGCACGACCGCCGGAGTCAGCCGGAGACCGCCAGGCGGATGGCATATCTGCAAGAAGGCCGCCTGACTTATAAGTCGAGTTATAAGTTTCGCAAGTCATAACTTGTCGAAGTTATAAGTTAGATAACTTCGAAATAAGTAGGCTAAGTCACACGAAAAAATTTAGGAGTTAGCGGACTTATAACTAGCACTTGTGCTAGTTACAACATGGTGCTGTCCTAGTTATAACTTAGTTATAAGTAGCACGAGATTTTCGTGTTCAGAACTTAGGGGAGTTGTCCTAGTTACTGCGCGTTGCTTTTTGGAGGTTTTGGAAGAATTTCATGAATCATTAGGTGACTATATCTTTCTAGCATGTTTGGCTGTCACGTGCTGGTTTCGGAAGAGACCTGGCCAGAGTTGATCGCCAAAGGCGAGTTGGCAGTGGTCGGCCTGACTATGTCTGTGCAGCGCTTGGAGCGTCTTGGGGCACACCTACGTTCCGGAGGGTTGACCGGACAGTTTTGGATTTGGTGGAAAAGGCCACATCCGCGATCCGAGATATTGCGCGGGCTTGTGCCGAGCACGACGCCAAGCGGCAGACTTGACCCAAGACAAGCGACCAAAACGCCGGGGGGGCGATGTACGCGTTTTGTACGCGATTTGTGCGCGGGCGGCCGCTGTTTCTATACTTCTGGTAGTGCTGCAATAAGAACGAAAAGGTAGGGAGATGTACGCGGCCGAAAAAAAAATTACGCGGATTGTGCGCGGCATGTCCCGTTTTTTTGTGGAATTGAGGTTGTGCGTTTCTGCGTGCGCCGCAGCATTTGGCTGTCCGGTTTTGGGCGCTCCCTCGCTGACCTGTGTTGTTCGGGTGGCGCAATGGCGGAGGCGATGGTGGCTGAGGCCCCGCAGCGAGTCTGCGCGTGCTGTGGGAAAGTGGTCCCAGAGGCCCAGCTGTGGGAAGTAGACTTCTCTGAGTCCATCGCCATGCCCACATGGCAAAGCAACGACGGAACGTCAACAATGTGAGTCAATTTGTCTCTTTTGACAGCGTGAGCCAAGAAAAAAGCTGCTTCCGCGCGCAAAACCATATCTCTCCATGAAAACCATGAAAATCAACCATGTAGAACTTGTCCTAGTTAGCGGACTTATAATTCAACTTCTTACAACTAGGCTAACTAGACTTAGCGGACTTAACAAGTTAACTAGGCTAAGTCTACTTATAAGTCAGACGGCCTTCTTGTGTGATCGCAGTAGACGAGTAGGCGGAGAGCTAGAGGTTCGAATGGCGGACCGGCAGCCGTGAGAGGTAGTATACGCAACAACCCTTTGGCATCCTTTGGCCTTGGAGTGCTTGAGTGCTTTCTTATTTGGAGTGCTTGACTGGTTGGTACCGGGTGGATGATTCACCACATACTTCTGCGGCAGCAGCACATGTTTTGCGCAACCGATGGCGGCAGCGGTTGTCAACTTCAGTGGTTCCATGTAGTCGGGTCGCAGCGGTCGCAGGAAAGGCGGAGGATGTACCTGTAGCTGGGATGCTACGTACAAGACGACTTCGCGCTGGGACGGCACTTCCATACGTATGTCCATGCATAGTCATAGATACAGATTCGTATAGGAAAGGATCCAACGATCCCACTCTTCTAGTGGGGTCTGAATCTCCCTCCGCATATAGAATAGACAGACATTAAAAAAGAAGAGAAAAAACATGGCCAGGTACATCACTCGTCCAGGCTCCCCCTAATCCCCACGGTGGACGCCCTCTCGCGGGTGTGCCCTCATGACCGGGGGCCCAGGTGCCCTCATGACCGGGGGCCCAGGCCCACGCCTGCACGGAACAACGCGGAAAAGAAGACGTGCCAGAAGGTGGGAGGAGGTGCGAGCCATGTGGATCCACATACCATTTGAAGGTCTTGCGGTGCCAGCCAGTCGGCTCCAGTCATACCTTCGTTTAGGTACGACTGGAGCCCAAACGGGCTGGGTAATGATGAATATTATCCCTGCGAACCCGGGGGACCAGTTTAACGAGTACCATGCGATCAGAGACTACTTTCACTAAACAGCTGCTCTCCGATCACTTTTCTGGCACATCGTCTGACCATCAGCGATTCCAGGCTGCGACCATGTCAATCCTGCAGCAAAAATCGATAGCATTCTTGCAAAAATAGTCCAAAATTCAACATCGAGTTTGCAACTGCCATGTTTGCAGCACATGTCCGGTCCTTCTCATCCGCTTCTTGGCCACTTTTAGCCTGGCCAGCAGTTGACATCTGCCCACATGTAATATACTTCGCAGTATATTTTCATGCATACTACAAGCAAATGCACATGAATTGTACCACAATTTGGTCATTCACAGGGGCCTGAGCCGGGCAATTTTGCAGAGATACTGCTCGCTCTGAGCACCAGATACATGGCGAGCAACGTGCTTCAGGACTCCAATCGAATCTTCTTCGCTAAAGCAGGACCAGTGGCGAGAATTGTGACCTTCAGCAGGTCTCACTTTTTGGCAAATAGCTCATGAGATCTCAACACCAAGCTTGAAATCAGAAGCCACGTTAAGCCAAGACGCGCCAATGCAGCGTTCGTTTGATGACATGCTTGTAGATGTGAAGCTTCGGTTTGAGCAACCATGCCACTCGCTGCTGCCTGCGCAATTCACAAATTTGCAATGCCAGGAGCCCCTAGTAGCGACCTTCAGCCCTAATAGCAATGCCAGGAGCCCCTAGTAGCGTCCTTCAGCCCCTAGTAGCAATGCC